GGAGCGGATTGTAGAGGAAATATCTCAAAATATTGAGAAGGACTTGATTCTTCTTGGTGCTACTGCTGTTGAAGACAAACTTCAAAATGGGGTAAGTTATAAATACTGTTTTTCTTTATGAAAGTAGTGAGAAGCAAGGGCTCACTTCCCTTTTATGCCATAGCATTTATGGTGTTTTTTTACAATTATGTGATCAGATAATTGATAATACTTGACTAACCAGAAGAGCTAGTACATTTTCACCCTTTTTGAGTAATTATTTCTGTATATAAAAATTAGCCATACCTGTTCTATAAGAGGAACTTGTGTAACAGATATATTTGTTGTGTTTGTGTTCTTATGAATCAGTTTGTGTTGTATAGGTTCCTGAATGCATTGACAAACTAGCACAGGCTGGGATTAAGCTATGGGTTTTGACTGGTGATAAAATGGAGACAGCAATCAATATTGGGTAAGTTCAAAGATTATCTTTTAACTTTGAAATCCTATGTGCAAATAATATGTTGTTAATCATGTAGTAATTTCTGTGATTGCAGATTTGCTTGTAGTTTACTCAGACAAGGAATGAAACAGATTATAATCAGCTCAGACACTCCAGAAATCAAATCTCTGGAGAACATGGAGGACAAGTCTGCTTCTGAAGCGGTAAGCCTTAACTTCGACCCTTAATTTCTCTCAATAGGCATTAATGTTGATATAGGTTACCCTTTTGCGTGTCATGAGATGAATAAAAAAAACTTAGGTAGTCTTTTACAAATACAATAAGCACTTTTGGCTTTTGGTAATTTGGTCCATTGAACTTTAGGCTATAAGATATTGTATGATTATGATAGAAACTTACTGATTCTTTAGGCACTCAAGGCAAGTGTTCTTCGTCAAATAAAAGACGGAAAGGCATTACTTTCTACATCGGATGAAAACTCTGATGCACTAGCTCTAATTATTGATGGGAAGTCTCTTACTTATGCACTGGAAGATGATGTCAAAGACTTGTTTCTTGAACTTGCTGTTGGCTGTGCATCTGTTATATGCTGCCGTTCATCTCCCAAGCAAAAAGCACTTGTAAGTTTTCTCGTTCCTTTATAATCCATCTCTGGTTTTGCTCTTTATTTCTTTATATGTAGGAGTTCAAGTTTGGTGATTTCTGCAAGATCAATCTCTAATGGAGTTTCTATTACACTAATGCAGGTTACTAGACTGGTTAAGATCAAAACTGGTAAGACAACTCTAGCGATTGGAGATGGGGCAAATGATGTTGGAATGCTCCAAGAAGCAGACATTGGGATTGGTATCAGTGGTGTTGAAGGAATGCAGGTAAATCTTCAATATCCTGTGCACAATTATAATATTTTAATATTATCTTTCTATAACCACAATTTTGAATTTGTTATTGTTTTTATTTCCAGGCAGTTATGTCAAGTGATATTGCAATTGCCCAATTTCGGTTTCTAGAGCGCCTACTTCTCGTGCATGGACATTGGTGCTACAGAAGGATCTCATCAATGGTAACAATCTTGTCTTGTCTTCACAAATATTATGTAACATAATAGCATTCTCAATTTGATATATATACTTATACAGATATGTGACTTATTGAAATGTTTCAATTCAACTAAGATCAGTAGAAACTTCATTGATTTATGACAAACTTCAATTCTGTTTGACAGATCTGCTACTTCTTCTATAAGAACATTGCCTTCGGCTTCACTCTATTCTTCTATGAGATGTATGCCTCATTCTCAGGGCAACCTGCATACAATGATTGGTGCATGTCACTATATAATGTATTCTTCACTTCGCTTCCCGTAATTGCTTTGGGAGTGTTTGATCAAGATGTCTCTTCTAAATTATGCCTCAAGGTAGCCTTTCAAACAAAGTAGCTTTAAAAAGTACATAATTGTTTTCTTCTCATGACATCTTCCATTTGTTATCAATTTTCAGTTTCCTCTATTATATCAAGAAGGTATGAAAAATGTCCTATTTAGCTGGAAAAGAATATTTGGTTGGGCATTCAATGGTGTTGTTAGTGCTGCAATTATATTCTTCTTTTGCATTCGCACGATGGAGCATCAGGCATTCCGTAAAGGCGGAGAAGTTGTCGGGCTTGAAGTTCTTGGTACTACCATGTACACTTGTGTTGTGTGGGTGGTGAATTGTCAAATGGCATTATCTATCAGTTACTTCACTTACATACAACATATTTTCATCTGGGGAAGCATTCTATTCTGGTACATATTCCTCATGATATATGGAATCATTGATCCATCCTTTTCAACCACTGCTTATGAGGTCTTCATTGAAGCTCTTGCACCAGCACCATCTTTCTGGTTCATCACTTTATTTGTTGTTATTGCTTCTCTTCTTCCATATTTCGCCTACGCTTCCGTCCAATTCCGATTCTTCCCTGTCTATCATCAAATGATACAATGGATAAGAAATGATGGGCAAACAAATGATCCAGAATTCTGTAATGTGGTGAGACAGAGATCAATTAGACACACAACAGTTGGATTCACAGCACGTTTGGAAGCATCCAGGCGTTTTGAAGCATCCAAAGGATTTGAAGCACCTTTTGAAGTCACCTCTGATATCAGATAACCACACTTTTTTTGATTTTTTGTTGTTGTATGTCAATTCATCAAGAGAATAAACTCGAATAAAGACGAGAATGTTGCAATGTGGATACACTAGAAAAGATGTATTAGGGGGAAGTTGGAGTAGCTCCTATCGTAGAATCATGCATTGGGTGGTTTGAGCTTGTGACCGGAGGAGACTAGTAAAAGTCTTGGTAAAGAGAGTATATCAAATGGAGGTTAGTCCAATTTCCAATGTAGGAGATGAAGGTCAAGAAAAACTATAGGCGAGACGATGAGGAATGATTCAGAGATCAATCATCAATCAGTTGTCGATGAACATGATTTATAGTGTTGTTCGGTCCATGTAGCTGACACATGTAATGAGATTAAGGCTTGGGTGATGGTTGATTATTTTCCCCAGTCAAAACTTAGGTATACAATTTTCATACGTTATAACCTTTTCCTAGGTGTACATATGTGAGGTAGAGATCAGATATCAAACTGAAGTAATCATTCCCTTTTGTTTTCTATAAATTTGGTTGCTTTAGGATCCGAAAGTATGTGATTTATTGTTGCAGAGGATAGAAGAATAATCTGTGCATTATTGATTCTTTTATGTGTATGACGAGTCTAGTAACATTTGATCTCGGCTTCTCTTTTTGTTTAATTTGTCAGTTTAAAATTCTACATCTATTTTCCTCATAACTTCATAATATTCTGATCTGTTTGTCTATAAATTATAGGCTAAATAGGGTTACAGGATTCTTACAAGTTCAAGTGCACATCACAGAGTATCTTCCTTATATTATAGGCTAATATACATACGTTTATTACCACGACTTTACACCTATCAAAAATGAATTAACATAACTTATGTAAGAATCAAACTTATGCTAGACAGATTCTCATAAAGGCATAATCGTTACAACTAGTAACACACATCAAACTTGAGCAACCTCACCATGTGTCGCATTGCATTAATTATCCTCATGGTCACAAACCATGACCTTGGCCCCAACACCCCTAACTTCAACATCTTTAATGCATAAACATTGCCTACACATACTCTTCACCCACCCAAAGCACCCCCACCTGATATACTCTCCAATGGGGACGGTGCCCTTGGAATGTTTCTACACCTGCGACCCAAATAGCAAGAAAGGACAGCTAATATTGTAAGTACAGATATCACACCAAAAAATGGACCAACAGATCCAGAAGATTGCCATGAACTAGAGTTTGAAACAGCTTCTGAGGTTGCTTGCTGCTGCTGCTGCTCTGGCTCTAGAATTAAAGATGGTGTTGTTGTTGTCATTGCATATTATTATTAATGATCAATATGATTAAGATGGTAGAGGTAGAGTAAGTAATCAATGTTAGAAGTAAGTATATAAAGGAGAGTGACGACTAAGATGTGTAGATTCCTTAACGGTGTGAGAAAACTTGAAATGGGTGGAAAAAAACGTGGAAAGGGATAAAGAAAGTGTGGCTATCCCTTTTAAATGAATTGCTTTTACACTTTTGAAGATGGATTTCCATGCATGCATGCTTTCATGATGCGTTGTATATTGGCTTAGGGGGAAACGTATGCTTTAGATACCTCGGTAAAAACTTCAAAGTGAGCCACACCCACGTCCACATCACAATGTCACATGCATGTGAATGTGATACGTTCTTGCTATGGGAGAAAGAAATAATCCACATAATTAAAGAAATAATACACACTGAAATACTGAATAGTACATAACAAAAAATTGTTCTTGCTGCTATAGGAGCTAAGAGTTCCATAATTTTTTCATTTCCAATTCCAAGTGACATATATGTAGCTTTAGAAAGATTCCCTAGGGGAGACTTATAAGTACCTTAATCAACATTACTAATCTGATCCTTCATGAAATGAGGTGAGATAATGTTAATATATGTATATATATATATAATTAATAAAATTTTGATATTATATTAAAAAATTAATTTAAAATGATATCATCAAAACATTTTTTTCTCCTTATCTATGTTGGGTTACATGCGAAAGCAAGGGTGGAATAGTAATTTAAATGTATAGGATGAAAACAAACATAAAGATCCAGAAAGGGTTGTTGCAGTTGAAAAGTGAGTGGTGGATGTGTGAGAGAAAAATAAAACCAGAGACATAAACCCTTGCGCCAAACCAATGGCGATCACTCCTTTCATTCCTTCTCTCTTCTCTCTTCTCTCTTCTCTCTTCTCTCTTCTCTCTTCTCTCTTCTCTCTTCTCTCTTCATCAGTTTTTTGTTTTGTTTTTGTAGTTATTACTAATACTATATGTATATTTCTCTTTTTATGTTATTCATCCATTGAATTCTTCCTCATATATTCTGATTTCACAATCTGCATCAATGTTTATTCCAGATCTATGTTGTAGATTGAGGCGATCGAGGTGAAGTCACTGGAGGCAGCGGTTTATCGATCTCTTCTTGAATTTTGTTAACACAAACCATGAATCGATCGATAAACCTCTGCATCCAGCGCTCACTTTCCTTCTCTCTATTTTTCCCTCTCTCTTTTTTGTTTATATGTAGTTTTTCTTTCATTTTTCATGTACAATTCGCAATTTTATTTCCTCTCACTAATCTATATGCTTGTGGATGTGCCTTTTCTGTCAATAATTTCCATGGATTCATATTTTTACTATTGATGATAGAAGTATGGTGCGTATTTTTTTAGAAGAGTTCAATGACCTATTTCACCTTTTGTGTCGTTGTTATGCTCACAAAATAGATCTAATATCATTAATATTAAATTGTCCGTTCCTGCAATCTTAGGAAATGTTTTACCAATATTTTTTCTATGGTCTTTTGTGAAGTTTACTTTCAGTAATTTTTTCCTCATCAGGCCAACACTTAGAATTTATGTTCCTGTAATATCTGGAGTTTATGCGTGAATCACAGTTAGAGTTAGCAGGAATCATCAATTCAAGTCACAGAATTAATCACCTCACATAGCATAATGGAGGTTTTGAAACTGTGATTCTCCCCGAAACTCAAACATTTCATAAGATATAGCAGGGATAGACAGTTTATTAGATCAATTTTGTTCTTGAGCATCTTTTTATTTTATTGCTATATTCCCTTTTCTGCTATATAAACCTATTTCCAAGTTATTTGAATTTCTGAGGTATTTTATTCAGTGAAACACTCTTTGAAATACCTTTGTGTTAAACCATGATATTCTTGCTTGTTTGAAATATCCACTTTTCTACAATAGTAGATATGCTTTACATATTTTTTTCACTTTTCTTTTCTTATGGGTCTTACTGTGTAGTTAAATTCAATTCTCATTGTTAAATATCTGAGTTTGTCAGGATATATATAATGTTTTCATTCTCTAATTCTGGTTAATGCAGTCTATTTTCCATTTATTGTGATGTCTCAAATAATGACATTGACATGTTGTGTAACCAAACATAAAAGGGTACCCATTCATTTTAGAAATTCTCTAGTTTATTTTGGATTGGAGAGCTTTTTGAAGAAGCTCAAAGGAGTCCATACCATAAATATGACATTTTCTATTATTGTGTAAAGGTCTCTGCCTAGTTTCTTTCCTGTAAAGGAAAAGGTATCTTTTGAATGTAGGTTTGTAAGTGGTTGCAGCACACTACCTAAATTGTACTGTATATAGGTCCCGGCCTCGTTAAAGTCAATGAAGGTACTCACTCACTCTTAAAGGGGGTCCAACTTGCAAGAGAATCATTTAGCTGATGACTTGTGTTTTAAGGGAATCTGGTATCAATTCCTGTACATGAGTTGAATGGAATCAAAGTTAATAAACAGAATAGGTTAGCAATTTGGGCCATTATGAGGAGACCAAATTTTGATTATAAATAGTGTGATGGAGCATCTTCAGTCTTTATCCAAGGATATTCTGTTACTTCATTCCTGGTTTCTTATTCTGTGATCCCAAGTTATTTGTTTCCCAATTTTACATTCAATATTCGTATTCTGTTGAAACTCTGTTGCGCCTTTGGGGCATACCGTTAATGTTTGAGTAAATGGCACCCTTTTAATCCTCTTTTTCGACTCTTACGGTCTTACATGTGTTGTAAATAAATGGAAACATAAGTATTGATATATTGGGTAAATATTGAAGCCGTTATATGAAAATGAAAATGTCAATTTTTTCTTTCTCCTGTGTTTTTACATAAACAAGTCGACTAACTCAATTTTATTTATTTGCTTATATAAAGTTTTTATATTACTCATTCCATTTTACATTTTTACTTTAGATAAAAAGACGTAAGAATTTTTTATATTGTCATTGTATCATCTATCATTCATATTTATATGTATTTTTTTAAATGTGTTTTTTATGGATATAGATTTTTTTTTAAAATGAGCTTGTCATGGGTTGGGCTTCGGAATTTGGGGTTAAGTTGTTGACGTGAATGTATTTTTTAAAACATTAAGCATGTGGGCTACCCATCATGCCCAAGAGGGAAGCCCACAAGAATAACATACATACAGGCCGGGCAATGTGAATTTTTAATTAAAAATGGTTTTTATATTGTAATTTCATTTTCTGTTTGTAGAGACAGTTCACGGATAGATGTGAATCAATTGATTATGTACAAATATCTTCATTCTTAATCCTAACAGAGAGTCACTAAGGTCGAGGGTGACAAAAAATGTTTGTGAAGTAATACTTAGAATGTTTGTGAGGTTACGATTTGATTGATTGACCCAAAATTAGTTAACTTGAAAGTTATTAGGATTCCATTAGTATTAGAAAAAACGATTGAATTGAAACTTCATTGATTTATGACAAACTTTATAAAGTTGAAAGTATTGTTTTCAACTTATAACTTCATGCTAATTCTGTACCGTTGACTTATTTTTATGACTTAAGTTTTGTTTGATAAAACTAGTTGAATGTTATGATAATGTAATTGAAGTTCTAAAGGTAGTTAAACGGTGTAAGATAGTCATGAAAAGTGATGGTTGTATAGTTAATTTATAATCATAATCGATGGTTATAAGACCCAATTCTTTATACTAGAACTATTTTTATTTTTGTCACTATGAGGATGGAAATAACAAGAATTCAAGATTTTGATTTATAATTATACCTTGTTATAATCATAAAAATCAAAAGATCAACAAATTAGCAAATAACATTGTGTCATGTAAGAAAGCATACAAGGAACACAGATTCTAAAATTTGAATCCAAATCACACTTGCTATGAGCACAGCCCTCTCTACTCCTAACTAACCTTATGATGTGTTCTTAATACTACCAACTACAAATTCATTGCACTCCACATGATTTATGTCCTTAGGCTTGTTTATACAAGTTCATTTTTAATTGTTATAAAATAAAATAAAATTTTATGTATCTAATTCCCTCATCTTTTTAGGTATAGCAGATTGATAACCCAATTGTAACCATCATATCTCCCATTCTGTTATTGACTAATCCAGAAAATAAGATTTATTATATGTTAGTCTTGTATAAAGGTAAATAACTAATTAATATGACAAATATTGTAGTAATAGTAGTCTAGTAGATACATGGCTTGAGATCAATAAAGAAAAACACAAGTTAAATGTTTGGCAGCATGCATGTAAATAGAAGATATAAGATATATATAGTGAAGATTCATTTCATTTTCTCAGTCTTGCAAACAACAAAGTTTTTGTGTGTATAATAGCAAATTAATAGGGTTGAAAGGAAAACATGAGTTGGTTAAAAACTACAACAAAGAAGAAGAAGACAATATAGGATCAAGATTAGGAGGTTTCTTGATGAACTTCTCCTGTTTGAAATTGAGAGGCACTGAAAGTAGGAGCTACCACAACAGAAGAATAAACCTTAGAACTTCCAAATGAAACTCCACAGCACCCTTCAGAACCTATTTCAGGAATGGAGCACACTATAGTCTCCTCAACAATCATGTCAAACTCATCTCTCATTGTCTGATTTTTCCAAGGCATGATTGTGGAATAAAAGGATGAGGTAACTGCATGGTTCTTCATGACTGCATGATGCTTAAGAAGTGTGAAAGCCCTAGGGTTTTTCCCCAAAATATTGATGCAGTTTTCCTCATGATAGGTGTTCATGGTTCCTTGGCTATTTGGAAAATTTGTTTTGGCATTTCTTCCTCTAAGAAGCCTTGCAGCACAGTCATAAGCCAAAGCAGCCTCTTCTGCTTTGTCAAAAGTTCCTAACCAAAGCCTTAGTTTCTGTGACGAGTCTTTGATCTCAGAAGTCCATCTTCCTGAAGGTCTTTTTCTCACACCAATAAACTTTTTGTCACTCTTTTTTAATGCTTTTTGATTCTTCATAACACTCCCCTTCTGATTCTCATAAGATTTATCTATTTCAAGAGTCATCATAGAATGATATTGTACTTTGGTTTGGAATCTCTAAGGTGTCTATGTTTTTCATGAGAGTAGGAGGAAGGGTTGGAATTTATTAGTGTAGATGAAAAGGAAGGGGTCATTAAATAAAGCATTTGATATGTAAAAACGAATTTGATGATTGAGATAGTGACATGCAGTTTGTCACTTTCGAGTTTTTTTTTCCTTCTTCAAAGATTAATAATTATCTTATCAGAGTGTTTTATTTATTTCAAAGATATCTTATTCAGATTAGTTAGAAAGTTGTAGGAGTGTGAGACTTTGATATATACTCTACTACATTGCAATCTTTTCAAGTTGTGATAAGTTATATCTAAAGAGAAATGATCTTCTTAACACTCCTTTTCTCTGGAACATTAATATTTCTTTTAGGTTTATATATAGGTGACAACTTTAAGATGACTTTGAGGTTAATTAATACTTTAATAGCATAATAGAGTATATATAGTACATAATATGTGACATGTACTATATAAATAAAAGGGGTGAAGAAAAGAGCGTGTCATCAATTCATCATTATTTATATCTAAATTGTGTTTTTTTAGGATTTATAAGTTGGGACATACTTATGGGTATCATTGGTACGAGTGAGACCCATCTTTATTATTAGAGAGATAAGTACAATAAAAATTCAAAAGAAAAGGAACATGTATTAACATTTTTATTATTTTTATCTAAAATTAGATTACATTTTTATCCTTAAAACTCGAAGGAGTTTAATCGAGCCTTGTGATTGAAGGCCAACATTAGGAATGAACTTATGTATGTAAGCTAATTATTCTACGCCTATAACAAATCCAAGGGAATGAAGTAATGAAGTTATGTATGTAAGCTAATTATTCTAATTAATTTATTTGAAAACCAATTGTTTGCTTAACCAGTACTCTTATATGCAAAACTCCAATAGCCTACAAACAAAATTCACACCTCAAAAGGCCGAAAAGAAACAGAACTCACATGTTCCTTTTAACTTCATACTCTTATAAAAAACTAATCTATCTTCAATGTTTGTCACATAATAGGTGTCTTTGTTAGCTCCTCCAAGTATATGCTCTTCTCAGTTATTTAAAATAAATAAAAATAAATAACCTCTCAATTCTGGTGCACTGCAAAC